AATATAGAAAAACTGATTATTTCAGCAACTTTTGAGAATTCCTAGGAATCCTGCTTTCTCATTCCCGAGACCTGAAGATTAATATCTGTTGGTAGTTTGGAACCACTACATTGGAGGTCCTTTGGAAACAGTCTGAATTCTAGAGTGTGGGAATCCTTCGACCCCCTAAGCACAGGAGAGCTCCCTCCACCTACTTCTCAGTTGTTACTAGAGAGTTTTTTTTTTTTTGGGAATTGTTTTTTCAAGTCTGGGTTAGGGTTTCTGGAAACAAGAGCCTATTGAATTCTTGTTGCTTAAAACAACATGCTATTTTCGTCTTCTTGCTAGTGCTAATAATTTCTGGAAATAAAAGGAGAAAGTTCTAAAAGTCCAAATTATTACATTCACTTATTCACTGAGCAAGTCCATGTGTCAAGGGCCAACCATGTTTCTAAGTACCAGGAGTGCAAAACTGGTTAAGACCCGGTTAGTGCCCTTTAGGAGTGCATAGTATATTGAAGGAGATAGGCACAAAAAAGAACTTCTTCACACTGTAACGAGTGCCACAGTTAGGTCTGAACAAGGTGTGATGTTGGAACAAACGGTGTCATGGTTAACTCTACTTGGAGTGGGGATCACAGGGTCAGGAAAGACATTACAGAAGGCAATTGATTTGAAGCTTGAACAAAGAGTAGACATTTGCTATGCAGATGGAAAGCATTTGCCAAGTCCTGTAGATTTGGATTTGCAAAACACATAAAGAGACCCCTAAGTGGTGGCTATGGTGGCTGGAGATAGAGTCAATAGGACTGAGGGGTAGGGGAATGTGGGGATGGCAGAGAGAGGGAGGGACCTAGGATGGGCCCCCAGGTTTTCAGCCTGGGTGTGCCCCATGTCCTGTTGGAATAACAGTAGCCTCTTAACATTTGGTTGAGTTGAATTAAGGTGCTTGCTTGGAGACTAGTCAGGGAGCCTGACAAGAGGCCATCACAGGGCCATGTTGAAGTGGACGTGCAGCCTGTCTGCCTGTGGAGGGGCCCCAGGAGGATTCCCGGGGAGGTGATATTTGAGTTGGGCCTTGAAGAAAGGAGGATGGGGGGAGAAATGTGGGTGGGAATGAAGGTGAGTTAGTTCGAGGAAAAGCTCACATGATGGTGCAGAGGCACAAAGTGTGTGTGTGTGTGTGTGTGTGTGTGTGTGTTGGGGAGGGGAGCAGGGCATACAGGGAGCCTATGAAGGCAGGCTGGGGTAGTTTTATACCCAAGCTTGGAGTTTAGACGGTGCCCTAGGAGGTGGGAAGAAGATGCAGGCTTTAAGTGTGGGAACCACATTATCAGGTTTATACTTGATTATCATCGCTCTGCTTCAAAAACATAAACGCTGGGAATTCTGGTAGACTTTTAAAAAAAGATTGAGGATAAGCAGTTGAACAAAAGGGAATAAGAAATGCTGGTGATCCTCTGATTGTCTGTCTTCTCTCCATTGTGGAGGGCTTGTAGGTTGGGGTTTTCTGCACAGTGCCACCAGCCTGTAGGAGGCACGGCTGCCCCTCAGCACCAGCCAGGCTGGGATGGAGCTAGGGCTTAGTGGCCAGTGGAAAGCTGATGGGACCTGCCTCCCAGACTAAATTGTTTGTGTCACCCTAGTTGATGAATGTCTGTGACACTGGGCATAGCAATCCCATCAAGACACCTTCATCAGATTTCACTCTTCATAGACTCGAGAATTGAAATATCTTGAGTCAGAAATCAGTCCCTTGCCTTGACTGGGTTGGTTATTTTTTATGATTTGCACTGAGTTATGGGGATTGAAATGCACATGCAATAGCCAGGGAAGTTATGCTTCTCAGGCTCATATACCCTTGTATGTAACTTTACATACTTGGCCTCTGGACAGAGACCACAGGTTTGGGTGCCATCTCCACTAGGATCCTATCTAGTTAGGTAAAGAACACTGGGTTTGCCCCAATCTAGGAGATATACTTGTTTTGTTAGAATGGGAAAAGTTAGAATGGCTTGGCCTCTGCATCTACAGCCCCCAAGACAACCAGGAGAGGTTAAAGGCAGACATACCTGGGCAAGATCCATGACCAGCAGATGTTGGGTATGCTGAGCTTCTTCCTCTACAGGTATAGGGTCACAGACATAGTTTAAAGGGGCATTTTGGTTATGAAGGTACAGATGCCAAAATAGGAGATTAAACTGGTCACAGATCAGTGCAGTGATCTCCTGGACAACTTCATTTGACAACATGTGTGACGTTAGTTGGCCATATTTTGATGTGACACTGGGCAAGTCACTTCCCCTCTGTGCCTTTTATTCCTTATTTATAAAATGAAATTGTTGGACTAGATTAGTTTTAAGGTGTTTTCTGGTTTTTATGTTCTGTGATTTTTGTGATTAATTCCTGAGCAGCCTCTGCAGTGGTCAGCACATAAGGACCCACCTACCCAACAGACCCAACGGAAGTATCTTAAGCATCCAGGGTGCACCAGGCCCTCTAGTAGGCATGGCTATCTGGCTCACCTCTTTGCCTCCTCTTAATTAGCTTGCTTTAACGATGATGTTCAAGTCCGGAGACAGAGATGACTTGTCATTAACTGGTGATTGATAGCTGGGTCCATCTTTTCCTCAAAGCCATTGGTTCATTGTTCTCTTCTCCCTCCCCTGCCTTTGGCTAAGGTCCCTTAGCCTCCTTTCCTGGGGGGCATCATTGCACGTGGTGATGTCTGCTCCAGCAAAGCTGCATACTCTTTGGACTTTATAGCCCCTTTCTAGGAACTCATAACAAGAATTGCTTCAGCTGTGGGCATGCACACTGGGGACTGATCCAGGAGAGGGGCTGCCAGATGCCAGAAGTTCTTCCTGCATTTGCTGATTCATTATCAGTGTCAGACATTCTGCTGTGTGAATGATGATAGATATGTGGTGTTCTGCTGAAAGAATCATGTACTCGAAGGTTAACCTGTGCTGACAACCTACTCATCCACTGCATGACGCCCCACCACCATCCCTTTGCCGGTAGCCCAAAACAAACCTTGAAAGAGTAAAATGTGTTTGAAGAATAATCTCATGTCCACGTGATTTAGAAATGCAAATGATGATTAAAAAAAAAATTCCAGATGAGTAGCAAAGCCAAGGTAGAAGCAAGGAGGTGTTGGAGAGAGGACCCCCCAATGACACACATAGCCCTCAAAGGATTTTTAAGCTAGTAGTCTAGGTTGGACTGAGATGGGCAGAACAAGAGAGATTCACCCCTGCACTCTCTGTAGCTGTGTAAATGCCATCCCAGGCCTAGCCACCGATCAGCTTCGAGACTTTAGGCAAGTCTCTTCTCTCTTTGAGCTTCAGTTTCCCCATCAGTAAAACAAGCAAGCTGGACTGGGTGATCTCAAAGGGCCCTCGTAGGACTTCTCTGGTTTTTTGGTCAGACAGGCTCATCTCTGTGGTCTGTACAGCTTGGGGTCCCCGCTAGCCCCAAGGGCTGTGCTGTGGGTATGTGCTGATCCTCTACTACTACCCTCAGAAGTAGTCCCCCAAACAGACCCTCTTCTTACTGCCTCCCCCAAACTGCTAGGGTAGGTTCAAAAGGATAAGAGCCAAATTGGTGGTTGCTCCTTGCTTTATCCACCTTTCTTTCTTGCTCACTTGCTTCATTTAGAAGAGGGTAGGTGACCTCAGACATCAAACTCAAATTCCTGAGGGACTGGAGACTCATTCCATACCTATTAGAAAAGATTCTTTCCTTCTGGCCCCATGAATTCTTTTGGGGAATTAAATGCCATTCCAAACCTATGGCCTGAGGATTAAGTCATATTTCTATGTAAATGGTAATTTCATCCTCTATACCCCGAATTACTGGGGCAAATAATAATTGTACTATTAGCTACCATTTTTATTACTTCCTCTTTTGCAGGCAGTATACTTAGTTCTTTATATACTCATTAATCTTCATAATATCCACTTGTAGTAGATTCTGTTTTCTCTCGTTTTATAAATGAGGAGACTGAGATTTACAGGATGAAATATCTTTCCAAGGTCACACAATGAGTAAGTGACAGAGCTGAGATTCGAACTTGTGTTTTCTGACTCCAGAGCCCAAACGCAAACCACCATGCGGGGCTGCCAAAGCAAAACATTTCAAGGACACGGTAATTGCCTGATTGATGGGCAGTCCAGAGACACTTGTCCTCCGCCCAGAACTCAGCCCCACAGCCATGGGAGTCACTCCAAGTGGTTTGCTGGGAGAGTAGCTTCAGCTAAGGAAGAAAATGTGGCAGTAACTGCAGGCCTTTATTTCAACGGTTTATCATACAGTGATGGGGCTCCTTCTGTAGACATAAGCCATCCTAATAGCACCATTTATCATTATGACAAAGGTTAGAATGAGGGAAAGCTTGAGCTAGAATGAAAGTAGAGTTCTGATTATTTTAACAGTTGAAAATGACATCATCTCAGAGCCTCTATGAAATGGCAAACTGGAAGCTGGACTGAAATTGCTTTAAAATGTATCCAGAGATAATTTTCTACAGCTGTGATACAGTCTGCAGTTGTGTTTGGAGATGAATTTCTGTCTAAAGAGCTCACTGAGTCACCTGTGTGTCATCCATGCAAAAAACTGCCCATCAGCCCCAGAAGAGTCTCAAGCTATGGGTTGCTGTTCTCTGGGTACCTGTGCTATGCCAAACCCAGTGTTGGGACTGAATAAGCCACACCCTCTCATTAAAAAAATGTATTGTGAATGTCTTTCCATGTCAATAAGTAATGTTTTACAACATTTTTAATAGCCACATTGTTTTCCTTGGTCCATCTGATGGGTTGAACCTAGGCTTTTGGGACAGAATCTCCTGCCCTTCAGTGAGTTGGAACTAGTGGGAGTGCTGGCTGAGGGCCCTCGGGATTCCTCTGCCTGTTCAACCAGCCCTTTATTTATTTGTTTGGCTTTTTGTTCCAGGAACCTAGAAGAAAGATCCATGGGGATCCGAGCTTCAACTAACTTATCCTTTCTCTCCTTATCCTTAGGCAGAAGAAAGGGAGTGTGGCCCACAAACACTGGGTTGGACCTTCGAATCTGGTCAAGTGCAAGCCCTGTCCCATGGCACAGTCAGCCATGGTCTGCGGCTCCGATGGCCACACCTATACATCCAAGGTTGGTCTTCTTTGTTGTCTATTTTGTCATCAAAAACATCCACATGTGCTTGTTCTGACAAGTCTCTGTGCCAAAACTGGGGCCTGTGAAGCTTGGTGGGCTCCTAGGCCTTGCCCTGGAGAAGCTGCTGCATGAGCAGACTCGTAAAAATGTTACATCTTTTGCAACTGGGCTGGCTGAGGGCTAAGGAAAGGGTGGTTCTGAGAGTGGCTTGTGATCCTCAGGTTAATCTGGATGAGCTTCCTGGAGAAGGTGAGGTAGCAAGCTGTTCATAAGATGCAGCTCCCATAGCCCGGCTGTGGGGAGAAGCCGGTGAGGGAGGCTCGGGATGCTGCTTTGTGGACAGCACAGTGAAAGGAAGAAGTGTGATTCTGCACACATTTAACCTGCACTTATGCATATCTGGCAGGCATCCCGTGCTGCACAGGCCTCAGAGTGGGGCCTCAGGGGCTCACAGTCTAGTGGAGGGAGGGGCAAGCATGGTGACAGGGCACTTTAACCCAACCAAGGCAAAGAAAATCCTTTTGTAGGAAAGAGGCTGGGTAAAGTGGGTCTATTTATTCTTACTGGAGGGATGAGGAACAGCTTCATACTAGAGGAGGAGGGGCGTTTTGTCTGGGTTTTACAATACGATTTGCAGGCAGGAAGGCAGGGATCATAGGGGTAGAGGAAGGAGGTGGTCATTTGTTCCTGGAACTTCAGACACTCTTTTGGGATAAGGTTGTCCATTTGTGATTGGGAATGGGTATATTTCATTGGGATAATGATTTTAAGAAAGGGAAACCACAAAATTTCTTATCTAACAAATATAAACAAGGGACCCCCTTAGGGTCTGACACTGTGCTAGGTAGGAGGGAGCTGGTATGGGGGTGCATGTCTTATGTCTTTTCTGTGAGACATGGGGGGGGCACCCCACCTCCTCCAGCCAGAGCTGCCCAACTTTCCTCTGTCTTCTTATTTCTCTGTGTTAGGTTTCACCTAGAGAGCAGACTCTTTGGCTAAAGAGAGGTGCCATAGGATACACCCTGGCCACACTGCCACATGGTCCTCAGGGCTTTCTGCCGGTGCCCTCTTTGTCCTCGCCCCACTTCACAGACAGTTGACTGTTCTGTTCTCTGTGATCCCCTCACCACCCTGACCCTCCCACCATGGAGATGCCACAGGCCTGGGCGGAGCCTCACTGCCTGCTGTCCTCAGAGACTTATCTGGGTTATTTTGAGGTTGTGGCCACTCTTCCCTACTGATTCTGTGATGTATAGGTCATATATTTTTGTTCACTGAAAGTACAGTTCTATCCTCCCAGATTTTCACATTTTTGTAACAAAGGGAAACAAATATGTCTCACAAAACAGGTATCTGGAAAGTCTGGCTTGTACTCAGACCCGTGTAGTCTGTGTTAGGACCTCAGTAGCATTATCTTTGCTTGATTAGTTCCTTTGTTCGTTCCACAAGTGTCATTTAAGCCTATGTGCCAGGCACTGTGTGAGGTGCTGGGGAAACTTATAATACAGTGGGAATTCAAAAGGTGGCTCTTCTTCATGGCCAGAGTCAGCAGTCCTTACCTCCCCTGCTCCAGATGTGTCCTGTGAGCTAGAACTTCTCTGCCCAAGGTCATAGCCTGGCTAAATAGCCCCAGCCTACTTCAGCTCAGCTCAGCCTACCCTTCTCCCTTCCCTTAGTGTCCTTGGTCCCTAATAGAGTCAAAGTTGGATATAGTTTATAGTAACAGGGCTTGCTTATGACACCCTAAACATGTTTGGGAAGGTGGAGTTGTAGGGAATACTAATGAATCATTTTCATACCCTGTTTCCAAAGGCAGATCAGGCGATCATAGTCTTTCACCTGGGGCCCAGATTCTAGGTGTGTAAACAATCACCTGAGAATCCTGTTAAAATACAGATTGTGATATGGCAGGTCTGCGGTGGGGCCCGAGAGTCTGCATTGCTAACAAGCTCCCAGGCAATGGCCATCTGCTGGCCACAAACCTCATTCTGAGCAGCGAGGACTTCAGTTTTTATAGGCACCTCCTAACAGTCTCCCTACCTCCAGTCTGCCCCTTCCGCTACCCCCAAAGTCCATTTCCACATGACAGAAGAGGTGGCCATTCTGTAATAGAAGTCCGTTTGTGTGTCTCCCCTGCTTAAAATGCTTGGGTAGCTTTCTTCTTGCTGCCAGAACTGGGCCCAGACTCTTCATTGCTCCTAACCAGGCCCAGCGTCTGTTCCCTTCTTGCTCCAGAGTCACTTATCATGGAAAGGATCTTTCATTCATTTGTTCAGCAGCTCTGTATTGGACACTTGTTCAGTTGTTCTAGGCACTGTGCAAAACATGGGGTAGGGCAATGGGAAGAAGACGGAGAGCATTGCTGCCCACGTGGGGTTACACTCTGGTAGGAGAGACAGAACGGAATAAGTAACTGAGCAATGAAATATGTAATTTCAAATTTTAGTGATGCTAAAGCATGGTGCTGACAAGGAGAGGTACAGGGGGCCCTGCTTGACCGGGGATGGTGAGGAGGGGTTCTTAGGACAGAGTGGATGGGTAGAATGTTCCAGATAGAGAAAATAGCATGGGCCAGGGCAGTATGGCAGTGTGATGTGCTTGAAGAACTGAGAGGATGCCCATGTGTGGCTCTCATGGTGAGGGGAGAGGCACGTGAGCTGAGGGGAGAGGGAGGATGTAGGGAACAGTTTGAGAGGAGACATTTAGAGAACCTGGAGCTGAGAAGATGGTCGGGCACTTCCAGGCTTGTGGGACACTTGGCATTGCAATTGCCTGGGGAACGTGAGATCCTACAGATCCTGCAGATCATGGGGTGTGGTGCCTAGTGGGTGCTCAATGTGTGTCACTGCCTAGAGAGGAGCCAACAGGGCCTCTGGCTGAGGAGGAATGGGAGATTCCAGTCTGTATTGTCCATTCTGAATTCAGGTGAATGGGGCAGAGAGAGCTTTGTGATTGAGAAAAGCAAGCCGCCCTGTCCTGGGCCAAGTTGCTTAGCTAAACGCACAGCTGGGGCTCTGGCAGACAGCCACTCCTTGTAACACTTCTCTCTTTTTGAAGATCCTGTTTGTGCTGTTCACATGATTCCCTTCACCGCTGCAGTCAACTCTGATCCTGGAGCCTGAGGCTGGAGACAGGCCTTGAGATGTCAGTGAGGGAGGGATCAGGGCTGTTTAGGCAAATGGCTTGTTGCACATCAAGCCCTGGCAGAAGCCTGCTCACTTGCCTCTGTCTCTCGTTCACAGAAGGAGCTTAAAATGCCAGCTCTCCATGACCCCCGAACTCAAGGAACAGTGCTAACTTGTCATGCGTGGCTTGTAATGCTGTCAGTTGTCCAGGGAATGTCTCTGGAAATGTTCGCTGGTCAAGTGTGAGCCCCCTTCCCCTTCCAGTGCCCCCACCTCCCACCACTTAGCCCCTATCAGTCTGGGCAGGAAAGTTGGCTTTTTATATATGGGAAGGTTGCTTACTCACAGGTGCTGGTAGTAGCTGGTTTAAGAGGCAGGATTTGGATTTGGAAAACCCCTTTGCAGTGACTCTTCATTCTTCAAAAGGGGAGTGACCTCCATATACCGTTGGGCAGAGCCCTCAAAGGCCTTCCCCAGAAGCATCTTGATGTTCTGTTAATGTCTTTGAATTCCTGCAGCAGACTTACTGAGTTCTCCGTTTCCCAGACCTGCTAACTCTTTTCCTGGAGCAAAAGAGATGTAAAGCCTTAGAAATTGTAGCATTCTTCTCCCATTCTCCATATGGGTTATACTGAGGTCTAAAGAGAAGGCCAGTGGCAGAGTTTGATACCCATGGTTTCCTGCCTGGATATCTGTGATCTACCTACTTCTATCTGAAGTTAAAACAAGGGATGGGGTGGTGGGAAGGGCATCATTGCAGTGGAAACAGGTGTGGGTGTTGGATATTGGCATTAGTCTCCTAATCTTCTGTCTTATGTGAACTTCTAGAAAGTTTGTGTTTTCTCTTTCTTAACGCAATAGGTCAAATATGGCTCAATCAGAAGCTATGTGTTGATTGCTAAAGACCTCTGAAGCAGAGGAGCACTCAGTGAGGCTTCCTTACAAGGTGGCTATTTCAGTCTGGTAGGGTTTACTACTGCAGTGTTTTAGTTGTTGCCCCCAAATACATGGCCACTTGTTTACTGAGGTTCAAAAGGACGTTTTAGTATCACCGACAAAGCTGTTGGAGACCACCAATAGATGCTCATCAAGAGTGAGTTAATGACTTCCCATCCCATGGACTTAGTGCCTTTTTTGAATTACCAGTGTCAGGGAAAAAGGACAGATGAGACCATGATGCATGTGTAACTGGAAGCAATTAAGTCAAACTCATAAAAATTAGTTTGGGCAAAAATATATTGAAGCCTCAGTCCTGTCATCACCAGGGAAATCCATACCCCATAGAGAATAATCACAGTTCTCCAAGTGAATTGTTTACCCCTTCAAGATGGTTCTGAGGCTGTGGGACAGCATAGTCAGAGGCAGAAGGATGAAGGAGCCTGAACATCAGCCTGTCCTTAATGCTGGTGTCTGTCCTTGAATCGCATAAACAAGCTTTCCGTCTGCTTCTGGGTCCCAGATAGTCAGAAGCTCTTTGAACTGGGGGATGCACTTAGGAATCTTTCTGCAGCAGGTCTCTTCCAGTGTCCCCATACCAGGGGTACCCCTCAGAGCTCTGTGACTCCCCCAGGATCAAAGATAAAGTGCACAAGAATGCAGAGTCTTGAGATCAAGGAATGTATAGTGTTACATGGCAATAAATGTTCATTCAGACTCTGTAAAGCATAACCCATAAAAGATAAGGAACAGAAGGGCACTATTGGGAATTGGCAAAATGAAGCCAACACGGCAGCTGGTTTGAGAGTGTGATATAGACTCTGACCCGTGACTTGGCCTCCAGGCAGTAAGGATCACCCTAGTCATTTCATAACTACCCTTGATGTCACATTCTTCCAGCCAGGGAGACTGACATAGCTCAGAAATTCA